GAAGTCGTCATGGATCCTACCTTGTCCTCTATATAAATACAATTTGGAGTCGAAAACAAAATACCAAAGGCCTAGGTAACATTGTTCCTGGCCTTTCGCCCGGGCATCACAAAGTCAGTTTGAACGTCTTCAAATACAGAGTACGCAGGAACGTATGTGTACTTGTTTACGTGACAATACTACTCTTCACACAAATGAACTTTACACAAAGAACTTAATTAAACACCCCCTGTATTTTTGCAATGATAGGTTTTCAACACGTACATAAAACTTCTCGTTGTGACTACGATGGAAAGTCAGAGTTTTTCTGACCCGTATGATCCTTAGACTCATATACAAACGACAAAATGACTGGAATCCATGTTGATTTTATGATGATAATTGCTCATTTAAAAACACTGATGTTCACACAAAACCATGTCTGTACAAGTATGGCCCTGGAATGTTTGATGTTGAATTTATTGGTGAATGTGAACATTCAAAATGTCATTTTGCGTGTCTTACACGATTCAAGGTCAATACCGAGTGTAACCTCCATGTGACTGTATGACAGCCAGCACCCTCCTCTTCATACCCCCTGTCAGCCTCCTGATCCTCTGAAGGGGCAGTCTACGTCAGAAGGTCGTGTGAATGACCCTTGAGGTGTTGAGGCACGCAGAAGGTTATGTGAATGACACTTAAAGTGTTGGAACACACACAGAAGGTGAATGTGATGTGTTGGGGACACCTTATGTGTTGGGGCACACACAGAAGGTCGTGAATGACTCTTGAGGTGACCAGAAGGTCGTGAGGTGACTCTTGAGGTGTTACACACACAGAAGGTTGTGTGAATGACTCTTGAGGTGTTGGGACACACACACAGAAGGTCGTGTGAATGAAATCTAAGGTGTTGGGACACACAGAAGGTCGTGTGAATGACTCTTGAGGTGTTGGGACACACACAGAAGGTCGTGAATGAATGACTCTTGAGGTGAACACACACAGAAGGTGGGACACACACAGAAGGTCGTGTGAATGGCCATGAGGTGTTGGGACACACACAGAAGGTCGTGTGAATGACCCTTGAGGTGTTGGGACACACACAGAAGGTTGTGTGAATGACTCTTGAGGTGTTGGGACACACACACAGAAGGTCGTGTGAATGACACCTAAGGTGTTGGGACACACACAGAAGGTCGTGTGAATGACACTTTATGTGTTGGGACACACACACACACAGAAGGTCGTGAATGTGTAATGACATACCGTGTGAATTATGTGTTGGAACACACACAGAAGGTCGTGTGAATGACACCTTATGTGTTGGAACACACAGAAGGTCGTGTGTATGACACCTTATGTGTTGGAACACACAGAAGGTCGTGTGAATGACACCTTATGTTTTGGAACACACACAGGTCGTGTGAATGACACCTTATGTGTTGGGACACACACAGACGGTCGAGTGAATGACACCTTATATGTTGGAACACACAGAAGGTCGTGTGAATGACACCTTATGTGTTGGGACACACACAGAAGGTCGTGTGAATGACACTTTATGTGTTGGAACACACACAGAAGGTCGTGTGAATGAAACGCAAGATAAAGCTGAGAGTGAAACCAGAGATGGTCGTATGACTGAAACACAAGAACAGCGCCAAGATGACAAGATCTCCGTGTCGAGGAAACACTAGTCATTAGACCACACAACGATTAGGATTCCCGCACCGTGATAAACTCACTCGAAGATTTCACACATACGACACGCACGTAACACCCACCCAACCTTCACACACTCACTCTCACATTTGGACTGATAGGCAGTCATATTTACTCAATATTATCGGGTGGGTTTACTGATTTTATCACAGAAAACTTTGGTGTTTTGGTTGAAAAGTAATGCCTGGATTACTATTAATCTGTTGTTCTTTGTTTTGGGTTGTTTTTTTCCTTGTGAGACTTTATCACTAAGTGGTGCATTTCAGTTGACTGCTTATAAGTTAATACGTTTTGTTGTCTTCGCGATGTTTCAAATGGCGGCACAAAAGCAAATTGGCTGTACTGATTATATTTCCTTCCCCATATTCCGAGTATTTAACTTTGGTGTATCCGTAAACCAGGTACGTAAACCTAATGGCAAGAGGTAGTTGTGACTTGAAATGACAGTCAGTGATGTAAGTAATATACACACAGAATTTCAAAAGATCTAAAGATCTGAGAAGGAAAAGCTTTAACTGACAGTCGAGGAACACCATTTCAAACCTGCATACTGCTGTCAGTTCCAAGCGTGAAGACCCCTGTGGCGGGACTACTGCTGAATATACATTGTCTTACTTCATCTTCGAAATTACCTCGCGCCTGTCTGTTTTTTCTTGGATGGACGCCCAGAGTTGATGTAGGTGATTGGCCCGTGGCCTTGATGAGACCTATGATGTCGGATAAGTTAACCATAACTGATGTATATATGTTAGACGGTGTCTGCTGATTGCTGTCCTAAGGACCCTCTCGTGTAAGCTGCTCGCTGTCTGCCTTCCGCCATAACGACCAGTTTCTCTCATTATCGTGCCCATGCTGTCTGTTGTATTCATGTGAGGAGCGTCTACTGCCGCGCGTCTTTGGGCGTCACACAATGTAGTCATATCAGGATTCAAACCACAGACAGTGAAGATCATAGTGAAATACTTGAAGTACCGGACAGCGACCGGGACGTCAGACATGCTGAACACGTTAGTTAGAGTTAGACTGTCACAAGTACCCAAATGTAACGGACAATATATGGTCCGTTTTCTACACAACACATTTGGCTACAGGTGGTGATTATGCAAGACATACAATACATTTGCTTATATGTCTAGACTACTGGAAAACAAGAAAATATTGAATATTGTAAACACAGCAAAACGCGATTTTCGATATGCGAGTCAAACATGCATGCTCTATAAATTCCTACCAGGGATAATCTACAACGTTATATCCCTGGTCCTACGTAGATTTGAGGTATCGCAAAATTGGGTGAAGTGGCATAATGATACAAACATGCATATAAAAGGGATTACACGGCTGTTAACGTGTGCACTGTGAATAAGACTGAATATGCCAATTTCGGTCTCTTGTAATAGACTTGTTTAGAACAGATATTGCTGAGCCCTTCAAACATCCAGCATCATCACGAAGACAGTCACCCTTTAAGGCCCGTTCCTGCTAACACAGAGCTGTGATAAGATCAGCTGTGTGAACATCAAGGCCGATGCCGCTATGATTATCCTGGCTGTTTACTTTTCATTGTCTCTATCCTGGCATGCGTAAGGCATTACACAAAGGCATTCGCTGGAAATAATTACGCTCTCAATAAATGATCTCTCAATTACCTTATTTCTTAAAACTCGCGAAATCTCCAAAATTATCAGAGGTTAAAAGCATGCTCCAGCTGGAGGTTGCCATTTGTCACATCTCGGTGATATATAGTTCAAAAACATAAATAATATCATCCAAGATACAAGATATATATATGTGTGTGATTAAATACCGGTGTACTATAAAGCACTCTATTGACAAATCTTGGTCTTTGACGACCAAGCCGTCTACATTTGGGTATGCACAATAACATGAGTAGAATGAAAGAAAACACATGACCAGGAACATCAACAGAAAGTTGGCCTACGTTATCTACAAAGCAATTCTGTCATTCCATAGATGTCCTTGGAATGAACCTAGCACACTGTATGCTGTCCTTTGTCCATGTGGAGGGGAAATGATTTTCCCATGTCTGCTGGAGCTGCATTGATTAAGCGTTATGGACAATCAATTATACTAACACATACTCTATGGTAAATTCGGTTGGGAAAATATTGTCATTGCTCTTTGAAGTCCGAGATAACATTCAGACTAGCCTCCAGATTTACAGTTTCATGACATTCATGGAATTAAGCTTTTATAACTCTATATTATGTACAGTCTTATTCAACCATGCAGGCCTTTTAGTACAAATGTCGTGATATACAGCGAGATACTTCAGAAATGTAATAATGCTCTTCACACAGAACACCAGGTAGAGTGCTGTTTATATCCTTCAGAGTATGTCGTGAGTTAGCTAACACCATTCACTACACGTTACAGCAGTGCTGGTTGCGTTGTAACTTAATAACGCTTTTCACAAGGTACAGATAAATGTTGATTATACACCCTGTAGCACGTTACACTGCTTCCATCAGTGGTTATTGGCAGCAGTTTATATGACAGTCTTTTCTAACCTCATCTTCCAGTTAAGTGTACCACTACTTTCTAGCATCGTTAGAAAACAATGTCGGGGTTATATCTGTAGAATATTCCATCCACTTTAACTGCTAACAAAGACAATAAATGTAGGTCACCAGATTGTTCCTGTTTGAATCAGTTTATCAGTACTGTGTATCCATTGTGACAGATCATTCCTTCTACATTCAATAGAGGTATACATCTATTTACAGTTACAAGGTACCTGTATGCGATTGTGTTTGAAGAAGGTTGCCTGTATAACAAGCACCCTGGTCTGTGGTTTCTCATGCTGGTGAGTGAGTAAATGGGTGTTTTTTCTTTACTGCTGCTGCCAGCAACAAGGCTATATCAAGGCAGCCCAGTTTGGACCAATCACTGAAAGCATAAGCAACATTTCCACACTAATCCAGGGGTATGACAACTTGAAACTAGTCAAGTCAAAGACCATAACCAAACATTCTCACATGGAATACTGGTAGGATTCCATCAAGAAGATACCAACTACTAAAGTGTATATGAAATTCTTCAAAGGCATTTAGAAGTTGGTGTAGTAATAGAAGACAAATGTTTTGGATAACAACTTCTTTATTTGTCAGGACGTTCCAGGATCCACCTGAAGCAGGGAAAAGAACTAGCCCAGAACGTTGTGACAAAGAAATAAAGAAGTTGTTATCCATAACATTTGTCTTGTATAACATTTGTCTTGTATTACAGTGCATATTATGAGATGATACAAAGTCAGGAACTCAAACTGGACAACCATCAAGAATTTGAATTATTTATTTACAAAATAACACATGTAATTATTATAGTTACATGATCACATCCTTGTTTACCATATATGTTTTAAGGTAGACACTTAAAAAATACATATGTACATTCCTACAAGTGACTGTTGTGATTCAGGTTGCATGAATTAACTGTCAAAATGTTATCAAACCCTATCTGATCATTCCATTATTACATATATTGATAACATTTGTTTCATGACAATTTACTTTCTATGTGTTTCCTTCTGGGAGGCCGTCAGTGTTTCAGTTTTTCAAAGAACTAAATATTGTCAGGATATTCATCCTACATAAGAAATGGTTGTAGGACACAAACATCCTCCTGGTCTCAGTGTCCAACAAGGACTACATCAAACATATCTTTTAATAATCACATAAACAATATCTTAAACATGCTGAATGACAAATACTCAAATGTGTTTAACAAAATAGAATATTTATACAGTTGTTCTATGTTCATTCAGGAGATAGCTGTAGGGTTTGGAAAGTACATTCATAATTGTTTGTCGGATATATTATTATTCTTATTAGGATAAATATCTTCCAAAAGGAAAATGAGGAACACCCACAAGGAGCAATGAGGACAAAATCTTTCACACAACACATCTTGTGAAATACAAAAACATGCATGTGAAATGTGAGGTATGTGGGAATGTTATAGTAACATTTTCATACATCTCTGGTGCATTGAAACCTGCAATAAGGACTATTCTACCATGACTTCAGTAAATACTGGATTGCGATTGGTTAATTAAAGTCATTCCGAGGTATATATTCACGTTCGGTTTTAAATAAGATTTAGAGCTATTATAATTTCGCTATATACCTCTGATTTTCCAACACAGTATGTTTATCTCCTAAATAAGTCTTACATAACATCATTTTGATCACAGATTTGCACAGCCAGTATTTACTCAGTACACATTGAAAAGGTAAGGTAAAAAATAAATACATTACTAACGTCATCAATATGAGTAAGTTCATTCATCTTGATTTACTGTAAAGAATTTTATACATTATATAAATATTTTGTAAAATCTGTTTCTGATAATGATCGTCATCTTTGAATAACATTAGTTTCTGATCATGATCGTCACCTTTGAATAACATTAGTTTCTGATCACGGTCGTCATCTTTGAATAACATCTTTGAATAACATTAGTTTCTGATCATGATCATCACCTTTGAATAACATTAGTTTCTGATCATGATCGTCATCTTTGAATAACATTAGTTTCTGATCATGATCGTCATCTTTGAATAACATTAGTTTCTGATCATGATCATCACCTTTGAATAACATTAGTTTCTGATCATGATCGTCATCTTTGAATAACATTAGTTTCTGATCATGATCATCACCTTTGAATAACATTAGTTTCTGATCATGATCGTCATCTTTGAATAACATTAGTTTTTCATGATCATGAGTTTCGATCATGATCATCATCTTTGAATAACATTAGTTTCTGATCATGATCGTCACCTTTGAATAACATTAGTTTCTGATCATGATCGTCACCTTTGAATAACATTAGTTTTCTGTCATCTTTGAATAACATTAGTTCCGATCATGATCGTCACCTTTGAATAACATTAGTTTCTGATCACGATCATCACCTTTGAATAACATTAGTTTCTGATCATGATCATCACCTTTGAATAACATTAATTCCTGATGAAGCAATGGGACTTTACTATTTAAGGAATTCTTTCACAAAACTTACACAATTTAAAAATATACATTACAAGTTATTTCATTTCCATATACAATATACAATTCTTTATTAAATTAAAAATATGTATCAAAGTGTAGTTCACTAAAAATGAACTGCAGTGTCCAAGTGATGACATGTTAGAAATCCAGCCATTTTTTACAGATTCTCTCAGACAAAATTGAAAGTTGCAGGAAGCAAAACTCAAGAGAAATGAAAAGTACAAGCAATCATGTCGAGGTTGATTTGAGGTTAACTTCCTAAAGGAAATTAGTTTTGCACAATTAACATCAGGCAAATACCTAAAAGAAAACCAAATTGTTAAGGACTAATTATGCTGATGCTTGCAAAGCCGGTATCTTGTATGACCCACAGAAGTATCGGTTTACAAACACAAATAGACTCCTATGGTTCAACTCCCATAAAATACACCACTGGAACATTTCCATTCCAACAGTATTGTCAAGATATTGGTTTTCTCACCAGATCACCTCAACAAACCTACAGAAATGATTGATTAATAAATAAACCTGCATGAGCTAACCATCACCTAGTTATAACACACTCAGTTCCAATGACTCTGCCTGTGGTCTGTATCCCGAGCGCCTGGTCTGAAGCAGACCACCTGAGACCTGTGTGAATAACAGGTGTAAAGGTCTATTCATCACCATGACGATCTCCCAGCTTGTTGATTGCTCCAGATACAGGTTCTTGAGTGAGCAGACCCAGCCTCCAGCATGTGTTACGATGTAGTGGAGAGGCCAGACAGCTCTACTGAGGGCCAGACTTCAGCAGCCAGAGCACAGACATCCAGACAGGACACAGACAGGCAAGCTCCTGGAAACCAAACATATATTTCTTAACTCATGATTATGTAGAGCTTTAAATGGAACAGCTTCTAAAATGGTCGCAATGTCCGAAAATAATATTCTACTGAGGTATGTAGAGTTCATTTTGGTAAAGAAGATGTAGTTATTTGAGTTAGGTTAAAAACAGCAAGAACTTGGCAACACATTTTGTTTCTCCTTCAAATTCTCCTTGTCTAAATTTGTGGAATTCTAAATGTTGAATGTTGCCATATTCTATCTGTTGGTAGCCCAGCAGACGATGTGTCAGCTTTCAACACTAAAGAAGCATCTCATCCTAATGTGAGCCCACCTACAAGCTGAACACATGAGAAGATACAAGCCACAACATCGCACCCTAGAGGATGTACTGCTTCCCAGTTAGCAAACTTTTTCAATGAATGAAAGAATATAAGCCATTAAATATCACTCTCTGTAATGTTTTGTGCACTGATAATACTTCTAGCACCTTTAGGTACACTTGGCTGTGTCTAGATACATGGCTTAAGGCAAGAGAGTGACTCAATGACTGTAAAGATGGGGTTCCCAATGCACAGAGGCTTCAGTGCAGAGAGTTTGGCAGTTTGACGGAATCTGCTGGGTTTGTTTAATTTTGAAGACTTGAAGCTGAAAAGTGCTAGATAGAGTGCATGAAGAAAGGACCACTTCAATCAAGTATGATATGATTCAAAGAGTTCCCAGAAGCTATAAGCAGCTATGGTGGTGTCATTTTGGGTGTTGGGTTTCTCATAAAGTGAAGAGTTTCATTAACACATACAGAAGGGTAGGGGGTTAAAGGCATGTGGGTTGGGAAAGTGGATTTACTGATTTGGACTGAATGTCCTAGGTTAAATCAGGTCATATAGCAGTGTGTATGAGTGTGTATTGTGTGAGTTTAAGAGCAGATACAAAGGCAGGTGAATTATGGAACTGGGATGACAAATTTGGACTCAATAAGCAGATGTATGCATGTTGACAGTGTGGGTTGGGAGTTTGAGGCTGAAGGCGAGTGTTGAGACTTTGACTGAAAGTTTCAGCTCAGGTGGTATATATATGATGATTCGACTTTTAGTCTCTAATGGTTAGCTTCACTGTCATAATGCTAATGGACTGACTACAAATATTTCATAATAAGATTCCCGTTACACAACAGTTGCACGGAGAACAAAAACAGTACAAGCAGAAGTGTTTAATCTGAGAACACAGATCCCATTTGTACAGAAAACACTTACTATTGACCTTGGTAGTATAACACATGACGTGGACAACAAGAAAGCCAGAGATTGATAATAAATGAATGACTTAATGATGGTAGCCACATACAGGTGAAAGTTGGTCAAGGTGATCATCAAACCATGACTTTATTCAAGTCACATCACTACCAGTAAGTTTCCATGGAGGTGGAAAGCCTGACGTGATACATGTACTCTGACAGATCTACTAACATAATCGACTGCCTCTGTGGTGTAGTGGTTAGAGCGTCCGCCCGGAGTGCGGAAGGTCGCGGGTTCGATCCCCCACCGCGTCATACCAAAAGACGTTAAAATATGGTACTTGTTGGTCCCTGCCTGGCGTTCGGCATTAATGGGTACAACAAGCTCTGGTCGGCTCGGAGTCAGTATAATGTGTCTGAGTTGGGTATTCATGCTTCACTGCGGCATGGTATCTCAGTGGGCTAGCACTATAAAACCAGCTTCAGTCTGGGCTAGTACAAGCAGCCGCACATACACATACACACGCATGCATGCCGTCATATGAAGCGAAATATTTTCAAGCACGACGTTAAACCCAATTATACCACCACCACTAACATAATCAGGCAAAACCTGAGTTGAAACCTAAAACCTCGAAACATTTAACATTTATTTTCCATATTAATGAACTGAACCAAACCTGTTTCTATGAGCAGTAGTGGTAATGACTAGGCAACCAAACCCCCAAAAGCCACAAAGGAGGAGGGGGCCCATTTGTGTCAGTGTGTCAAACTTCTCTTACCTTGGGCATGCCAGGAAACTATTATTGAGCATTCAAATTCTAGTTGACACTGGTTGTCAGCACCACACCCTTGATAGTAGATTTCTCACTTTGGACCTTTCCTCCTCACTCAGGCTGATATGCCATGATCTAATGGAAATACTGTTCAAAGTGGCTCACTAACAAAGGACAAGTAATTAAACTCAGTCACAACAGAGGCGAGTTACAAGGTGGGGTCCGAGGTTGAACAACATCCTTCAAGTGCACACTGAACTGACCAACAATCAATGGCAACTATTCACCCATAAATTGTCAAATTCCACATAACCATAGAAACAAACGCAGAATAAGTGACAGTATCCCCAGGATGATCTTGGACTTATCGGCCTCCAAGCTATACAAACGCATGGCATGACTTCATTCAGTTTTTTCAAGCCAGCTTAATGTTGTACGATGTAGATAAGATCTAACCACCTAGTCAGAGGAAGCAGTGATCACCCACTCCACTGGGGCTTTAGTGGCAGATACAGACCATGAATTAGGAGAACAGAGCAGCAGGAATCGACTTTTGAACATAACACCCTACAAAAATAAATCTCACAATTTTATGTCATCCTGTTTGTTGAAAACACAAATGAAGGAAGTGGTGAAATGATGGCAGCCTGCAGACCTTCAAGACCATCTCCAAAGACGTTTTTCCGACACATACGCTAATTCTTGATAAGATTGGACCTGTTAAGGTAACACACAGTGCTGTCTTTAGCAAAACTCCCTCAAGTAGCCTGGAAGATGAAAGGTGGGAGATTGGAAACGATGTATTTGACTTGTCATAAACATCTTGTGATGGATGCCATTGGCTGCAAACACATCCTGCGATCTCTGCAGGACATAAAAAGCTTTGGACATATAATACTTCTCAAGGTAATAAAAAAATCAGATCAAATGTCAAAATTATTCTAAAGATCGTAATGCAGTGTGGCCAATCTGGATGGGAACACTAAAAATCTCTCCATGAGTATTTCATAGGGTACATCACAGTGAGTGATGATAAAACTGTGAAAATAGCTTAGTTTGATGGAGACTAATCTGTGAGAAATGGAGATTTACATCCCTGCAAGAGTAACGCTAAGATAACTCAATTGTATGAACTTTTTTGTAATGTTTTTACATATTATACTTAACAAAATCACTTCAACTGCACTGAGATTGACATCAATACAATGATCGAAAAAAAACACTGCCTATGAAATCATGTGATTCCATTAAACAAAGTGGTCTTAGAGCTAAGACAATTGTCACTCTGTGATGTAATGAAGACTCCTTTCTGGAATGAAGTGCAGATTCAGAAACTGAGGTAACCGATACTGCTCAGAAGTGAAGGTCGTTTGTTTTTTGCAAGAGTTCATGACATGACCCTGCAAGGTATCTGAAGCACATCCATTTATCTTCTAAGATCTTGTTATACAAATGGTTATTTCACTTAGGTCCTTAAAATAACTTTCCATTTGAAAATTATTCTACCATTAGGTCTTTAGGTTTCATTTATTGGTTAGTTACGTCTCCATATTATCTTTCAAATAGGATCAAAATTAGAACCATCAAAGACAGAATCTAAGAAACACGAAAATGGAAACATTATCGAGAAAGTTTGAAGAAGAAACCTTCTATCCAACACTTAGCAGTAATTAATCCTACGTAAGCATATCTTTATTACAATGAACTTTGTGGCTATGTAATTGATAACAGGTACACTACTGTTGAAATCTAATGTTACCTTCATTGGCTCTGAAGTCACTTTCCATGGCAAGCATTCATGAGGCAATGAGTGAATGTTGTTTCACTCCACAATGGGCAGTATACTGGGTATATCACAAGCTTGTAGATAATATACATGTATAGTCCAGGCAATGTAAACCAGTGGTTGATAGCATGAGCAACAATTGGCAGTATACTGGGTATATCACAAGCTTGTAGATAATAGACATGTATAGCCCAGGCAATGTAAACCAGTGGTTGATAGCATGAGCAACAATGGGCAGTATACTGGGTATATCACAAGCTTGTAGATAATATACATGTATAGTCCAGGCAATGTAAACCAGTGGTTGATAGCATGAGCAACAATGGGCAGTATACTGGGTATATCACAAGCTTGTAGATAATAGACATGTATAGTCCAGGCAATGTAAACCAATGGTTGATAGCATGAGCAACAATGGGCAGTATACTGGCTATATCACAAGCTTGTAGATAATATACATGTATAGTCCAGGCAATGTAAACCAGTGGTTGATAGCATGAGCAACAATTGGCAGTATACTGGGTATATCACAAGCTTGTAGATAATAGACATGTATAGTCAAGGCAATGTAAACCAGTGGTTGATAGCATGAGCAACAATGGGCAGTATACTGGCTACATCACAAGCTTGTAGATAATATACACGTATAGTCAAGGCAATGTAAACCAGTGGTTGATAGCATGAGCAACAACTGGCAGTATACTGGGTATATCACAAGCTTGTAGATAATAGACATGTATAGTCCAGGCAATGTAAACCAGTGGTTGATAGCATGAGCAACAATTGGCAGTATACTGGGTATATCACAAGCTTGTAGATAATATACATGTATAGTCAAGGCAATGTAAACCAGTGCTTGATAGCATGAGCAACAACTGGCAGTATACTGGGTATATCACAAGCTTGTAGATAATATACATGTATAGTCCAGGCAATGTAAACCAGTGGTTGATAAAATGAGCAACAATCCAAGCAATCTGAGATTAGAGACACGATCACCCAGGGCATATATTGAATCCTTAGTGGGACTCAAAGCCTCCAAAGTACTAGAATCTGTACTTTACTTAGAAAGTGTAATCCCAAATATAGCATTTGATTGAAAGTAAAGATCTGTCCCATCTTAGGCCAACTAAGATCATGAGTTCAACTCCCCTTATTAGGTAGCAGTACTGGACCTTCACCTCAGTGCTCACGCTAGACATGGATGGATGGGGTGT